CTGACACTCCTGAGTCATCGATCACCCATCAACACTGCTGTTTACAGTGGACTAGACTCACCACATGGCACTTAGTGGAGTTAGTGCAGGGAAGAATTGTACAGTATGCATCTTCCTTACTCTTGCTCACTTAGGAGACTTTTTGACATGGAATCCTAGTCAAGCCCTGCCTCTCATCTGAGGGGGATACAACAGCACAGACAGGGCTGTTGATTAATGGGAGGAGGGGCATTTGCCTCAGAGCTGGGCAATTTAAAAGGCTCCAAGCCACCACTGCTGCAGTGGCAGCCGGAGCCCCAACCCTTTAAATCACAGACTGAGCCCCCCGTACCAAGATTCAGACAGCATCAAGAGCTGGCTGGGGGAGGTGCGGCGTGGTTAAGGTAGTGCCGCGGGCTGGTTGTCCTAGCCCCACTACTTCTGCCTGAAGCCCTGCCCCTTTCCAGGGGGCCCAGAGTCAAGCTCTCCCCCCACACACACACGTTGCCCAGAGCCTGGCAATGTCTGTCATGAGCACTGGGCACAGAGCGGGAATCTACAGAGAGCATCTGACAGATCGTGGGGAACAGACTCACCACTCAGAACCCCCTAGTCATGACTTACAGTATTGACATTTTATGTTATGAGGGGCAATCCTTGGTGATCTGAAGGGAGATAGTGCTATAAAAAGCATCCCTGTCCCATTCTAGATTTCTATACCTCCCCAGAGATCTGCAGAGATCTTTACTGAGACAATTATGGGAGGTTATAGTGCTTGGGTCTTGTCTTTCAGAGACGCAGAAACAAATGGTGAAGTGAGAAAGATGAAAAATTGTTGAGGTGACCAGACCGAAGAAAACAACATAAAAAACCAAACACCAGTTCCAAAACATTTTGGCTAATTTTACTTCCTCCAGGCACCTAATAAAATGCAGACTTCCAAGTGCTGCAGCCTATTGCATTAAGGACCACTGTTTTCTTTCCACACACTAGTTATGTTTTCTCAGAAATAAGGCTAAATTGACAATAAAACTCTGCTTCCTACTTCTAACCATAGAACCAGAACAAATAGGCCTAATTTCAATCACAGATGGGCTATGTTGTAATTGAAACCATACCCACAAATGTTTTGGAAACAGACAATCCCATTTTAGCTGTGGTATCTTAGGGAGCTATGCAAATCCTAGAAGCTATGAGAAATTGTGCGGCTAAAGCCCTGCTGTACTGACAATTTATTCTTTCCTACGTAATATCTCCAATTCTGAATACTAGGACAGATCCACACCTGGTGTAAATTATCACAAGTCCCTGAATCTTGAACAATTACACCAATTCAAAGGATCTGCCCCATGGCTTCTATTAAGAGCTCAGCTTTCCATGTGGCTAAAAATACAAAGAAAAAACCTATGCTGCAACCAGAAGTAACTTTTGAACCTATCCTTTGTCACTTACCTGGGGACATCTTTATATTCTGTTGATGGATTTTTTTCATTCCAGCTCTCATAAAGAGATTTGCCTTCAAACCCCTCATCCGGACTTGGTATCTAGAGACATTCATTTAAGAAAAAAGGACAGAGATACGCCATTTTAAGTATTAGTAAGCAAAAAATTCAATCCATGAAGTCAACTAGTTAGAACAATGACTAAGTCACTACTCAGGTGCATTGGGCAAATCACTAAACTTTTCTGCACTTCTTTCTACTAATTTGAAAAATGGTTGTAATAATAGTGATCTTATCTTACAACAGTGCAGTGGGTCCTAATTACTGTTTGCACAGTAGATTGTGGTGCTCAGATGAAAGTCACTACAGATACATATAAATATTAGAAATAATTATGCTCATGTCATACTTCTATTTTTAGTGTGTCCTCTGACTTACTCTGAAGTTTCAACAGCTGAAGGTATATTTTTCTGAAAGATTGTTAAGTTTTATTTCTTTAAGTAATTACCCAACAATAATAATCCAGTACAGAAAAAGGCATTTGCATTGATCTCTTTAAGTCAAGATTCTTCATGGAGTAATATTGCGAAAGCATGTTGTCACACATTGGCCCAGGACAGGCGCGATGTTAGTCCAGTATTGCTCAGATATTAGAAACCAATAGGTAGTGGCATCACTACTGATCCTGTGTACTTGCACATGGTACTCAGTTTGAGTAGGAGTTGTCAGATCAGGTTCATTGTTAGGTAATTGGGCCAGCAGCTTCAAAAGTGTTCTGGGGGCTCAATTTGAATTGCCTTTGATCTGATCTGTAGAGGTGTTGAATGTTTACAGTTTCCATTGGCTTTAACCGGAGCTGTAGATGAGCCATACCAATGATACTGAGGCCAGAGCTGTCTCCAGTTGAGTACCCAAAAAGTGTGGCACCTAGCATTAGCAGGCTCTTTTGAAAATTTGGGCCACTGCAAATTGTGTCAGTTGTTAGCAAAGACTATGTTGACTTGTCTGATGGCGTGTACAAACCCCACACTGGCCTGGAAAGGGTTAATGAGCTGTGGTGGGCACTAGGGATGTAATAGTGTATTTGATTAATCAATAAGCAAAAGCTTATCGGTTAATGCTATTGACAACACGCATTTAAATTCAGAGCCGCAGCGGGTGACCTACTGGTGGGCAGGCAGCCCAGCTTAGTTCTGGCTCGCACTGGGTCCCGGACCTACTCCCACTGAGGCTCTGCATTTAAAACATAGTAGGAACAGGATGGGCAGGCAGCCCAGCTTAGTTCCAGCTCATGCCGGGTCTGGGACCTACTCCCACCGAGGCTCTGCATGTTAAATGTAGTAAGAACCGGGCGGGCAGGCAACCTGACTCATGCCAGGTCCAGAAGCTACCCCCGCTGCAGCTCTGCATTTTTAATGTAGCAGGAGCCAGGCTGCCTGCCCACCTGGCTCTTACTACATCTGAAATGCAGAACCACAGTGGAGGTAGCTCCCAGACCAAGCGTGAGCTGGGACTGAGCACTTTAACTGCCTTCCCTTAATGACTAATCGTGTAGTCAATAAAAATTCTATCAACTACACAATTAGCGAATTACCCACTTCTAACATCCCTAGTGGTCACAGTCATCCCTGCCCCGCTACACTTTGGAGGGAGGAGCTACAAAGGGAAACACAACCTAGCTGGAAACTAGATGGGAGGGAGAGCAGGAAGGCTTGGATGGGGTCAGAGACTGGCTAGAGGGAAAGCAGCTCTGAGGTGGGACTATTATTTTGATTTACTACCAGTGACTTGCTGAGTCAGAGTGCTGATAACAGCCAAATAAAGCCCTTTATCTTTTCATCCAGCTGGAGAAATAGCAGTTGGTTGTTGCGAGACCAGGAGCAACCTAGTCACA